TCGGCGAGCCAGAGAAACCGTCTACTGGCCACACCTGAACCAAGAATTGAAAGACCACATCTCACATTGCATCACCTGTGACACATTCAATTCCAAGCAGCCGAAAGAACCTCTCATCCCGCATGAAATACCAAAGAGAGCATGGGCAAATATCGGTTGTGATATCTTTGAATTTGAAAAGAAATCGTATTTAGTAACAGTGGACTACTACTCGAACTTCTTCGAAGTTGACCGCCTTGAAAAATTGACATCACTGGCAGTCATAAAGAAACTAAAGCCCCATTTCGCCAGGTTCGGTATTCCAAATACTCTCGTGACAGACAACGGCCCACAATTCATCAGTGATGACTTTTGAGACTTCTCTATGAAGTACCAATTTGAGCATATAACGACCAGTCCCTATCACCACTAATCCAACGGCAAAGCCGAATCTGCCGTCAAGCAAGCCAAACGAATAATTCGAACATGCAAATCATCAAACGATGACATTTACCTTGCCCTCCTTGCCCACCGAAACACCCCCCAAACAACTCATGAAACAAGTCCCGCACAGCGACTGTTTAACCGCCGTACAAAGACTCTCTTGCCCGTCTCGGAGAAGTTGCTCCAACCGAAGATAAATCCGCAAGCAAACAAACGCATCCAACAAAGACAACAGCTCCGAAAGAAATACCACGATCGTGGCGCAAAAGAGCTCAGCCCGTTGCGGAAAGGAGAAGTGGTGAGACTACAGCCAACCCGAATCGGCGAAAAGAAATGGAAGAGAGGGATAGTCGTACGCAAAGCCGGGATAAGATCATATGAAGTCCAATGCAAAGGGTATACCTATACTAGAAACAGAAAATTCATCCGACGATCAAGGTTACCTGCAGAATTCGGTAGTGACAACGCAGATGAAGAGATGTCAGACATGTCCGAAGCGGAAGAGAACGTTTCTGTACCTACTGACAATGATCTGCCCCAAGAAAACCCTCAACCAGCACACTTAGAACGCAATGAAACAAGTACCGAAACAAGTTCTACAAGCAAAACACGTAGTGGACGGTTAGTTAAAAAACCTGACAGGCTAGGTATAGACACATAAGGGAACGCGGTATATATACGGTATATTTATAAAGAAAAAACTTTCAGAGAAGAGGAGATGTTGGACATTTACTGTTGACATTAATATTTTAGTTATATTTGCTCGGACAGGGAAAACTGGGAACGAACGAAAAGGGCGCGAAATAGTTGTAGGACACGGGATTTTAGAGATAGAGTATATACATGTTAGGAGTTTATATTATGCGAATTATACTATAAGAAATAAAACTATCAAAAGTTAATGAAAGTGAGAAGCAAATAACACTCTGCAGGTTAATGTTAGCATAGCATATGACAGGTACCTAACAACTTCATATACATAGAAATACTAAGTCTGATTTTGTCCCAATTATTGCTTTAAGCCAATCTTCAAGGCTAGCCCTACTGGTAGTACTGCAGAACAACTGTCTAAACAATCTGCTGATTGGGAGATAAAATTTATTTATTGACATTTTTTATTTAATATGTCAGCTTTAGATGACACCATTAATTGTTAATGATTAAGATTGTAGTCAGTCAGAACTGCAAAACCACATAATAAGAAAGAAATTGTGAGCATTATCAAAAAATGTATACCTTGAAATATAGTGACAATTAATGTAGCCCGGCAGGATTATTTCATATTATGATAACAATGGACATATCTCGGAGATATAAACAGACCTCATGCCTTGTATAAAAGTCGTAACTGCTGGTTAAAGAGTGCCAAGAATAGGAGGATGCCTTAATGGCAGTGACATCAGCATACGGTACTAATTAGTAGATTCCAAATGAATAATTAAATTAAATTAAAAATAAGCCTGATCAAGAACAGAAATGATCTTGTATACTGGAACCGGAGTAATATCAAGTACAATCTTGTAAGACTGATGGTTTATGTCTTTTCTAGAGTATCATCAGAATGAACCATTTGGGTGTGAGTGTCTCACCAAATAGCGTTATAAAAACCCTTGATTGTGTGGGAGAAGATTTTGAAAATAACAGAGTAGCTTGGAATTCAAAAATCATTACACACCTTAAAGAGGAACTTGAATTAACATCTCAAATAGAACAATTGAACAATGAAAAGAATGATTTACAGGAAAAGCTTGGCACACCTGGGCTTGGAAATGATAACAAAGAGCTCAACAAAGAATTAAAAAGAGTTTGTGATGATTACAATAAGGAAGAGGGAAAATTAATATCTCAGAGAGGTGGACATCCTCCTACTTATTGTGCAGTCATTGATAACTTTGACCTTAGAATCGAAGCTGCAGACATGACCTCAGACAACCAGACGAAAGATATTCACTGGTACGGTGTAATCACAGTGTCATTTTGGACAGGGTTTCAGCACTTGATAGTGCAGATGAAAAACCCATTGCAAATATTCTTGATGTCCCAAATGCAACTTTTGTACCAAATGTTACTGATCAATGTAGCATACTCAAAGATTTTATTGTCCTGGTCTCACGTGTTTTTCTTGAACATTTTTCAAAATTTCAAAACACATTCAAAGATGTTGTTCCTCAGCATATTCAGCCTAAATACAGTAATGAAATGAGTAAGAGAAGTAAAAAAGAAAACATGGGAATCATTTTTAAAAATGAAAACAAAGGGGAAGACATGATTGACATTGCTCGATATCTTCATAACCTAGTTCCAAGTGTTGGTGAGGAAAAGAATGAGAAATTTAGAAGGATGCCTGTTGTAGGGGATCAGCTCACAATAGAGAGAGGAGTTGAGGCAAAGTTCAGTGTGTCAAATGCTTATACACCAAGACGATGATTGGAAGGGATATATTTCCAGCTTGCCGATTGGCACCATGAAAATAAATTTCTTGATGTAAGTTGAATCATTTCATGATTTAATGATTTAAATGCTCTAATATCAAAATTTTTACAAGTATTATTTTTCTGTGCATTCTACTGTTAAGTATTCCGGTTGTTGTAGTTTAGGTGGCTCCCTACAATTTTTGAATAAAATTTAATATTAAGGATAATGTAAGAACATTTCTCCAATTATTATCAACTATAACAGTAAACTTAAGGTCTCTGATCTACTGATAAAGCAATATTTAAAGCGTTCAAAAGTTTTAAAATGAGTCATTTAACCCATTGAGTGGCGATGCACCCTGATCCTGCCTACTTTAGTATTTTACTCTGTCTAACGCCAGAGTATTTTACTCTGTCTAACGCCAGGCGATTTTTTCACTCGTCAAGGGGAGAGCGCTGGCGCTTAATGGGTTAACTGGCCTATCTGCCAATATTTCTAGTTAACCCATTGAGTGGCGATACACCCTGATGCAGTCTACTTTAGTATTTTACTCTGTCTAACGCTAGACGATTTTACTCGTCAAGGGGAGAGCGCTGGCGCTTAATGGGTTAATTGTGTTGCTTTTTGGCTTTAAACCGTTGTAACTTCCAAAAAAGTTTGGTGAACCCTATTTTTTAAATTTATTTTTATGCATAATGAAGCAATTGTGAAAGTGTCAGAATCACAAGTGCACGTGCAATTTCATATATAAAAATTCCCACACTGGCAATCTTGATTACACTTTCACAATAGTTTCGAAATATTATACATAAAAATAGAATAAAAATGGGGGTCACCAAAATGTTGGTAGTTACAGCGGTTTAATTAAAACCAAAAAAGCGGGGCCATATTGAAATGTCATGGTTTCCATAGCAACAGGACCGGAACAACTGGGGGTGTGGGGTGTAACACCCCCAAAGAATAGTAAAGATTGGGGGCCCAACTTGCGGAAACACTGGCCCCTGTTATTGCCAAACGTGTTCAATATTATGGAACCCCGAAAAAAATTTTGCTTTCCGGAATACCGCCTGGCCCGGCATATCAATGCAAGTTATGAATTTATGAAACATATCTTAAAACTTTTAAATATAGTTTTATCAAGATCAAAGACCTCTACTGTTTCTGCATCTGCAGTTACTATTAGCCAAACTTTCTTACTTAACCCATTGAGTCGCATTGCACCCTGATGCACCCTACTTTAGTATTTTACTTGTCAAGGGGAGAGCGGTGGCGTTTAATGGTTAAATCCATAATATTTAATTTTATGAAAAAATTGTAGGGAGCCACTTTAAAAACAACCATAGAATGTCATAAAGGGTAAACTGAGAAGGTCATCATGTGGTAATTTAGGAAATTGTTTGGTTGATAATTGTCAGGTCTAAAAATTTAAGAAGTGCACCAGATAAGATTTTCATCAAAGCCTTATTTGTATAATTTCTATGAAGGTTATATATGCAAATTATAATGATATGTTCAAATATACCAGTACATTGTATTCTCACACACAGCTGGGAGCTGCTGCAGCGTCAGCCGCAAGCTTGACATTTATTAAACTACCATACATTACAATTGTACCATACATTACAATTACATTACAATTGCTCGCTACATAATTACTATAACAAGTACATATACCCAGTCCAAAAGCGTTCTGTTCCTCTACTCTCTACTAATAAACATGAAAGGGCTGGGTGGGTGGGATACTGTCAAGCTACGTTGAGCAACAACAAAAATATGCTCAACTAACCTGCACCACCCTATAACACCCTGATTTCATCAGGCCCCCAGCAGTGTGTGAGAAAACATTTTCCGCTTCTTTCGTGCCTCAGCCAGCGGAAAATAACACTTCTCACACATCATTAGATATTCATAGCATTTCGGCCAATGACATGGTGTAATTTACATCACGTGTATCTATCTGGATACACCGTCTAGACCAGGACTTTAATTACTTCAAGTGGGAAGGGCTTTGAACAATAGGGAAATTGGGGTAAACAAAAGATTATGCAAATATATTTAATTGCTATGTTTAGAATTATTTCTAAATACAGTAAGCTGTATTTAGAAATAACTTCTAAATACACAAGAACATTAAATCACACTTTAAAATAACAAAATATTTTGCTTTATTAATCACACTAACAATAACACACATACAATTGACTTAGTATTACTTATTTCCGGCAAACGAAATGTTAAAGGAACAGTTAGTGAATGTACTGTTCGACAAAACAAACTTTTCAGCGATAGTACGTCGCTGCACCTCTTTATCAATTTTAGACCAGTCCACTTCACTCAAAAACTTATCAAGTTCCTCGTCGGAAATTTGAAATTTTCGTCTTCCTTAGGCTTCGAGGGTGGCTTAAAATAGTTGTCAACAAGCGACACAACCTTTGATACAGATGGGCCAACACACTTGGATACAGCCATTGCTTGGTCATTACTAGGTTTCTCATACGTAAATAAGGCAGAAGAAACATGCCCAGTTCGTTCACGTATTAATTTTTCTTGATGGCCAGCACGAAACAAATTTGTTGCTGTTGTGGCACGAAGGCAGTGTGCTGTCTTAATCTCAAGGCCAGCTTCTTTCATTAAAAAAGGCACGATATAGAATTAAGCTTATGAATACCAATTGGTGCATTTTCGAATTTATACGCTGTTTTGCTCGGTCGAAAATAGAATGATTCATTAACTTTCGGTAACTCGCTGACCAAGGAAATGTACTGCTTAAACATTTGAAACAGGTATGGTTCATGCACACTTTCCTCATCCTCGTGACAATAATAAGTCACAATTCTAGGTTTCTTCTTTAAATCTTTCAATCCTCCATGAAAAGTTTTCGAAATATTTTCTCGATAACAAATTTTGTTGTTTTCTATGACAAAGTTGCTTAATCTTAACTGTCTGTGTTCACATGCTCTTAACCTGAATATTTTTTCTATATAGAAATAAATTGTGTAAACCAAATTTTGAGCAGTTTTGTCTCCCAGCAAGCCTTTTGACCACAGCAAACCTTCTTCATCATCTGTAATAGCTTCTTTCTCTCGTCTTGTACGATTCTCCGCAAGCGATTCGCCTTCCCGGTGGGTGGCTTTCATTTCACTATCCAGCACTCTTCTGAACGTCTGGAAACTGAGTACTACACATGCTCACATTACAATAAATTAAACTAAACCATTAATTAAAAATGAACAAATTCAACCTACCAGTGATTGTTAGCATTTAACATGTTAGCTTCAGCCCGGCCATTTTTGTCTAGATGTCGTTTCAACGAGCATATAATTTGGTATACTGTACGCCCGGGATATGGCTTGCCATCCTTGTCGCAAACTTCTTGAACAAATTTGATAAGCCAGAAGTTTAACGCTCTTGCCGTCATTGAACACAATTCTGTCTCCAAAGCACTTGTATTTAGAAACCACGTCTAAAACACTAACTCGGATTTGAAATATTATTTATATATCAGACTGCCTCGGATAATAATAATAATAATATTTGGTTTTGAGGCTCTCGGCTAGATTTTAAAATATTTTAATTTTTTTTATTTTATTGTGCTAACCTTTACCCCCATAAATCACCCCGTATTAAATTGGAGAGAGATGGAAACGTATTCGCATGATTTCAAAACTGCTCATACTTTGTGAATCAGTAGACTCTAATCTTTTCATGGATATGCTTTTACGTACAGGATTAGCAAACACACGCAATTTCTAGCGGAATATTTTAGAGGCACCTATTCAGACTACTACAGACTGACTACATTAGACGGTTGTGCCGTTTTTGATATCAACCCGTATTTTCATATGAACAATACTTTGATTAGTGAATTAAGAAATCTTTGAAGAATCATTTAGAGATAGTCTCGTTTTGAGGCTCACGACTAGATTTCTTACAATCTTAAGTTGAAAATTTAGCTTTTTCCTATTTTTAGTAAAATCACGATTTTTGCACTAAGTGTTTTCAGGGATTTAATCATAAATAAACTTTCCAAAGATATTTCTGAGTAGAACAATGCGTTAAAAACAAATTTTAAACCCACCCTGAGTTTATTGTTTTAATTTCATCTGTCCAGGGAGTGAAAACCACTTGCATCTTCGAAAAAAGTTAAATTTCGTCAATATTTCGTCGTATAAATAAATAGTTCACAATTGTCCGATTTCAGTTTAAAGTCTTTTATCCAGGACATTTTTCAATAGCCTTTGAATAAACGAGCTTAAATTCTTGCACAACCACTGTTTTCTTCCCAAACGAGAAGCCCAAAAACCTGCTTTTGCTCATTTTAATAATTTAAAACAAAATTTTCGCTGGCGCCCGCAATTTACTGACCAGCGACAGCAAATTTCCTACCTGTTGCCTTCACCAACGGCAATTGCTAGATAGTATACTTCAAAATAAGATTTCCGTTTTTATATCAATTTTTAAAATAAGTTAGGATTAGGTTAGGGTTTAGGTTAGGGTTAGGTTAGGGTTAGGGTGAGGGTTAGTATTAGGGTTAGGTTTTAGTTTTGCGTTAGGATAGTTTTTTCTACGTTATAAAAACAGAAACCTTATTTTGAAGTATACTATCTAGCGATCACCCTTCACCAAAAGGTAAACAGGGTGGACTTTCGTCTACGCATGCGCGAGAAACGTAAGCGTGGAGTGCACGTGAGCGCGGGTTGATCGCGTGACTGAATTATAAAAACAAACATCAAATTTGCCAAAACTACTCGTGTTATGATGTCATTTTCTTGTTTCTTTAGTGTTTCTACGCTCACAATTTTAAGCATTTCCAACTAGAAGTCTTTGCTTTGGAATAAGAACGTGAAAGTATAAATAAAAACTTTGTTGCAGCAGTTTAATTTCGCAATGCAAATATACCTGTTTTTAATATGTATATTCTTTTCGAAGTGAGATATACAAGTGCAAATTGACCTTCTTTAAATTCGTACTTGCCCTATTTTTCACTACATAAAAACTACTTCTATCCATGG